AATAATCAATATGACAACTGTTTCCCATTTATGCACTATGTGTACTAATATGATATGTCTGTAAATCAGGACATTATATAAACATGTCTGAAAGCATAAGATTATTTGTTGCTTATTTGTTGATTATTTGTTGACCAATTGTGTATTTTATGCAACATTTTATTACAAATTTGGAAAAAAAACATCATCAGTTGTTTACAGAACAATTTTTACAATTTTCCATAGCTGTATATCTGTTCAAATTACAACAAAAACAAACTAGGAAATAATATTACATCTGTCTATCTCCTATATGTTTTAGAAATGTACTTCATTTATGTGGTGCCAAAGCTGAATTTTCAGCTCTCAAGCTAAATACTGGTTACTATAAATATGGCTTGATATTTTGTGAAAACTTATACATTTTTAAAGATTTTAGAACAGTATTTGGTTGAATTGCAGTAAAATATGTCTCACTTTTGAACAATTATATACATCCCTGCTTTACAAAAGTTATAATTCCCCTTTAAAAATTTCCATTTCAGATAGCTGGCTTACTCTCTGCTATTATCGTGTTGGTGGTCATTTTGGGAATTGGATTTTTGTTGGAACCTCTGCCAAAGGTAGGAATAAAATCCTGTAAAAATTCCTACGCTGTCCTAAAAAATAGCAAAGAAGTGTTTGTAATTTGAGGTTAATATTTGAAATATTTGTTTGCTGTGTCACTGCAGTCTGTTCTTGGTGCAGTGGTGATTGTGAACCTAAAGGGGATGTTGATGCAGGTGGTTACAGTTCCTTACCTGTGGAAGAAAGACCGTCCCGACTGCGTAAGTGTCTTTGTCTTCAGTCTCTAAAAGCAAAGTAAGAATTTCAGAATAAGAGTAATACAAACATTTGTTCATTTATTTTCTTTTCGGTTAGTCTCTTTATTAATCTGGGGTCACCACAGTGGAATGAACCCCCAACTTATCTGGCATATGTTTTATGCAGAGGTCGCACTTCCAACAGTAGTAATACAAACAGACAACCTGAATTTAAATTTCAACTTCTGAGATCAATGTAAAATACAGCAAATTAGAATAGGTGAATAGGGTAAAGAATGTAATTCACAAATAGTTATTTCCCTAGTTGACTAATTATTATAAATGCAAACATTTATGCAACCAGTTTTCTAAAATGTCCAGTTAAATATGTGAATGAGACATAAATGATTAAGTTAAATACACACTAATCCGCACACATATCTAGTACAAAAATCTGAACATTAAATGAATCCAGATTCATAATTCTTGTTTTAATTTAGACAAATTAAGAGTCAAAGACAGACAGACAGACAGACAGACATCTTCTGTAGAATGACATGTTGTACATAATCAGGCAAATTATATATGATGATGTCCCACAATAAAATCATTTAGAATATAAATATGCATAAAACTGGGAAATTTGATGTATTGGTAAAGAGGAGATTTATGCCTTAATAAACTAATTTAAAAAATTGCATTGAGTCTACCTTAGTTCAAACTTTAAAAATGTGGATGTTTTTACTCTTTAAGAAAACCCCAAAATCTCAATGTGCATGTATTTTTGACTGCAGTGTCTCACCTTTAAAGAATTCGACTGTCCAGTGGTTTATCACTGATTGTGTCCCACTCTGTTGTTAGATTGTTTGGGTAGGAACGTGTTTGGCTGCTATAATCCTGGGGCTGGACATTGGCCTGGCTGTTGGTCTTGGACTGGAGTTTCTCACTGTGGTCTTCAGGGCTCAGTTGTAAGTATTGACATCCAATTAACTGAATATGGATAAAATAAATAGTGGTCAGCAAAAAATAATATACCTTCCATTTATTAGAGATAAATAACATAGGAAATGTATCTTTCCAATGATCTTTTGCATTGTAAAAGCTGATTATTTAAGTTTACTTTAATAAAGTGAGTAAACCTGTCCCTTTAAAATGTATTCGTTTCTTAAAAAATAGTAAATCTTTTGCCTTAAAATTATTAAGCAAACAATAATTGTAAAAATTAGGTTGTCAACTTAAAAGTTGCAAGTTACACAGATAAATAAAAGCAAAAAAAATGCAAGTGATTATTTAGTGAATTATTTTTATTTTTTGCTGAATCTTTAAAAAGAAAATCTTCTAGCTATGTTCTTATAAAACTATTTCCCTCAAATAAAGACACAAGATGGATGAAATGTTTTTACTTTAAAGTCATCTAAGTCAACAAAGATAAAACAATTTAGTATTATGGTTATTTAATGTAAAAAAAAACAATATATTAGAAAATTGGGGGGAAAAATCCAGGCTCACTTACTTTTTTTAAGTGAAATAACTAATCTCTTTTTATTATATAATCAGTTAATTTATTTTGATTCTCAGTCCACGTTGCTGTGTCCTGGCTAATATCCCGGGGACAGATATCTACAGAGATCGTAAACATTACATCAATGTAAGTTCACCACAAATACGTGGCTTCTCCATATTTGGCAACATAGTATGCCAAAATGTCTTTCATTTATAACTTGGTGTGTCAATGTCCATGATGGACCAGTTTAAAGTGCATCTTAAAATCAAATGAATTAGATAAACAGGCTTGCATAGGTTTTATATTTCATTCTATTTCTCCTCCAGATCTTTGAGCCAGAGGGAGTGAAGATTTTCAGAATCCCATCTCCCATTTTCTTTGCAAATATCGAATTCTTTAGAGACAAACTAAAGGATGCTGTGAGTACATGAGTTTCACTGTGAAAACCCTCAGCTGATTTAAAAAAAAACTAACCAGATTCCTTCAATGCAGGTGGGCTTTAATCCTCTCAGAATCCTGAGGAAGAGAAACAAGGCTGTGAAGAAGATTAAGAAAATGTTAAAGAAAGGAGAGCTGACCTTAACCTCAGTACGTGTTCTCTATTTATAACATCATAAGAGTGAACTCAAGGACTTCCTAATGAGCGTTATGTAATGTAGTTGTAATCTTATTTAGCTATCTATCTAAATAACACCTGAATCTTATCATTTAGATATCTATCTGAAGTTCCTTTGATTTCTTTTGGATATAGAACGGACTACAGACCACATGTTTAATGCCAATTGAAGAGTCAGAGTATGACAGCAACGCAGATGATCTTGACCAGCCCACGGATTATACAGATCTTCCCATTCAGATAAACTGGAACGCAGAACTACCTGCCAACATCTCCGTCCCTCCGGTCAACATCCACAGTTTAATCCTGGATTTCTCTGCCGTCTCATTCATAGACATATCTGCAATCAAGGGTCTGAAAGCGGTAAAACACTTGTGTTCATTATGAAAGCAAAGCATCCATTTATACAGTTTAACTAATGTCTTAATATTCCTCAATAAATTGAACAACCCAAATAACAAAAACATTTGGTAAAATATAGTAAAATCCAGAATCTGTTTTTTGTTAAATCTCTTTAACTTTTTAACTCCTAAAAGTTGTTGCTTTAACTGATGAACTTCTATGTATTTTGACAATATAGAGATATTTCGATATCTGCAGCACTCTCAGTTAGGACAGAGGAAAAATAAAATCGAAAAAGGTTTTAAATTATCCAAGTGAGTCAGTTTTGAAACTGATTCCAATAAGAGGTTACAATAAGCCGGTAAATTGGGCATACATGTGGATTAGCTAAAGTTAACTAGATTAGTTAACTTTACTTAAAAAAATAATAAATTAGTAAACCTGTTGCTTATAAAGTGATTCATTGACTTGTTAAAAAGTGAGTAAACCTGTTACTTATAAAGTGATTAGCTGACTTTACAGATTGAAAAGTAAGTAAAGCTGCTGATTATGAAGTGATTAATTGACTATAAATATTAAGTAAATTAATGGTCATACTTATAAAAATCAACCTAACAGTTGCAAGTTGCTTACTTTAAGCTAAATTGTTGCTTTTAGGGAAACAGGTTTACTCACTTTTTAAAGTTATGTAACTAATTGTTTTTTAGAGTGTAAATAAAGGCATCGTCTCAGGATTTTGTGAGATTTTGAAAGAATTGTCAAAAACAAGACAAAAAACACATTTTACATGGGAAAAAAAAGCTAAGAATTCAAATCTTTCCCAAATTATCATATATAATATTGTGAAAAAATTGAGGAAACATGAAAGTCCCAAACCCAGCATTATTGGAGTGTGTTACAGCCATCAAAATGTTTATATATTTACTGACAGCATTAATTTAGTTGGTCAGTGAAAACACTGGAAATTTTGTCTTTGTACTTTTGTGAAATTAAATAATTCTTGTTCTTAAATGCTCAGATGTTTTCAGAACTGGGGTTGTACAAGCGGTATAGTTTGATCATATAAATCCATCCCTAATCAACCATAAACTCTTCTGTTTACAGGCCATAAAGGAATTTATACGCATTGATGTTGATGTTTACATAGTAGGTTGTGACAGTAAGTACTTTTTCCTTTCTGACTGCAGGTTAAAGGGCATTTGTAGAGCATTTTACAATGTTTTCCTTTATCTGCAATTATAATGTAGTGTAATGAGCTGCAATAATGAACTGAACTTCTAGTCTACTTCTAGGACTGACAGTTACAACTTACTAGAACTTCTATGTTTAGCTGTTTTGACAATTGTAAAGCAATATAGACATAAAGATGAATGGAATTGAATTGAATGATAAAAACTTGTAGTAACTCAGACCTTGTCATTTCCAGCGGGTATCATGGAGAAGCTAAAGAACTGTAAGTTTTTTGATGATGAAATCAAGTCGTCTATCTTCTTTCTGACCATCCACGATGCAGTGCTGTACATTCAAGAGTCCCATCCACCAAGGACTGTGAGTGAGAAGGTAAACAGATGTATTTGAATCTTTCATTAGTTTTTGCAATTAATTAAAACTGCATTGTTAAAATGTCTGTATGATTTAAACATATGCAAACAGGTCTCGGGAAGTCATCAGTATCAACACCTTAATGGCAGCAGTGTCTCCAATGGTGTGGCTCTCCAAGAAATTGCAGTAAGAAAGATTGAACCTGAAATATTAAATAATGCAATTTTAAAAAGACACAAAACCCAAAAATGAATATTTTTTCAAGGTGTTTACATACCTTCAGCCCATATGTAGATGACTTTTTTCTCCAGTTCAACATTAAAGAAGATTTATAGCTCAAACCATGGCCCATGGCGATCCATAAGATGCAAGTCAAGATCCATAGAACTTTGAGAGTCAAAAAAAAAAACATACATACGAAATGAATACATGTGATGATGTATTGAGATATTATGAGGCAAAATGAAAGACGGTGCTAGAAACTGAACATTATTTACAATAGTATAACTTTTAATTTACCTCAGATGCTGTTTGTTTATTACAACATCTGTTTAGTGTTTAGTATTCATTTTTTCCCACACAATAAGTGTACTGTACTATAAATAGTTGTGCCATAAATAGTCCATTTGTAAAACAGAGTGAGAGGTGCATTTGGCTTTGTGATTTTTTTTTATGTGTCATGAAAATAATGTGAAAAACACTGTAATTTAACCTGACATTAGTATTTAGTTCCTCCACTTTTTTTAGTCCAATAATATTTACCACACCTGAAAATTGCTGCAGAAGTCATTAAGCAAATATTCATGGACTGCTTAATTATTTAATAATTATTAAAAATTATCAATATCAAAATAATTAATTAATAATTAATATTACTGCTCAGTAATATTACTGCCTATTTGTGAGCTAGCAAAATGAACACTGTAAAGTTTAATTTCACATGCACTTTAAAGGAATTTTCTCCCATTATTCACACAATATATCATGAAATGTAGGAAAAACATACTATTTTAATTAATAATAAAATACTTGTTTTTTTTTGTTTTTTTTTGCAGGACATGAAAATAGAAGAGGAAACAGACCCCAAACCAGAGACAAGGTTCTGAAATGAAAACACCATGTCAAATTTTGAACCCAATGTACAGTATATAAGAATGAACTAGCAGTGATGATTTAGCACATAGCAGTTTTGTATTCTGTAAACTGTGCTGCATGCCAAATAAGTTAGATTGTCAATGTGTCATGTCCCTAATTTATTGATTTGTGGTAAACTCTTACTTGTTCGCCGTCAGTGCCTTTTGTACATGTACATTTTCCTTTTTGAATAGTATGTATTTTTATGTGAACTATTTTTATTCTGAAATAGAGAAAGAATGTTTTTCAAATATGCATTGTCTTTCTTGACTATTTTTTTCTACTATTATACAAATGATTGCGCGTGCAGATGTAATTATTTTACTTTCACTAAAGTAATATGTGTTATAAATCTAATGCTTAAACATATCTGTCTGAAAAAGGAAGTAATGGTTGAGGAAGTGAAGAGGACAAGAAAAAAAAACTTTATTTGTAGCTTAATTATTTAAAGGAAAAAATAATCATGACTTCCTCAATTACAATAAAATAATTTGATCATGAAGAAAATAACATGGCATAAATATTATTTATGCGTTTATTTACATTAAAGATTTCAAATTTCAAAGTGTCAATAAAGTTTTACACCTATTAATTATAAAGTACCATTAGTATGTAATAAGGAGAACTCTTTTCATGGAAAAGGTCATAAAGGCCATTAACTTACACTAAATTATATCATCTTACATGAAAATAAACAGTAGCACGTGTTGTAAAATAGATTACTTAACACGATTTAAGTAAAAGCATCCTTTCCTGTATTGGAACAACATTCACAATAACCAATCAGATTTCAGCATCACATTTATGGGTTAAAGCTTTATTAGGCTGAACAACAAAACAGCCTAATAATGTCTCTCTGATTTCTGAAGTGAAGGTTAGCATTATGATTCAGCTATGACTGTGGAATGTGTTTCCTTGATAAACAAAGGATATTGATCCTGGAACAAGTTCTATTTGGTTAAATCACACTGTACAAAATGGAAGTTGCAGAGTCATTTTGAGTCTTGTTAGTAGCAAATAACATAATAGCAGGATAACGTACGTGAACCTTTGGAATCACCATCATTTCATACATAAATTGGTCACAGAATGAGGTTTGATGGTCAGTTAATGTGAAATTTCACCCAAAATTGAACATGTATAAATTGGCTCTCCCTCAAGATGAAGATGTTTAGCTGAAACTGTGGTCCTTGGTGATTCATAAAATGAAATTTTGTGTTTAATAGATGCCTAATATAAGTTTGATCATGGAGGTCTTGGCTAAAATAAGGCTAAATTTGGGCTGTGATTGAACAATTTTTAAATAGACACCCTGGAATAGCTAAAAAAAAAAGAGTTTAAGCAGACTTCACATTTTGGTCATTCATTCCTGCATATTTGTTTAGCTTTGGCCTATTCCTTTACATCTATTTGATTTTCACTGACATACCAAATTTAGGTTTGTTTAAGCCACACTATCTATATTTTTATGTCTATTATACTCCTTTCAAAAGCACAAAAAGTGCTTGCAGGGTTGCTGTCAGCATTTAAAAGAACATATAGAGGCAAAATGAATTAATATCTGTGGCTACTGATGAAAAGCTGTAGGCTTACAAAAAGGAATGGGCAGTATACGCAGATAAGTGAAGAATATAAACAGCATTGATATCCTTAATAGACAGCCTTTATATACGTCAATAGACTATTAATTTTATTTTGGCTGTAGATATGTTGTTGAGGTTCAAAGATGTAGAAATTCACAGTGCAAAAGGGAAAAAGCATGTTATTTAAAAATGATATGAAAAGACTAACCTGCTAACCTGAAGACCAGGTTAAAGTTTTAATATTATGTTTCTCATTCATAAGGAGCTCTTCTGGATGAAACAAAAGAGATCTCTGAAGTCTGAATGGCGGAAGTTAATCATTTTCTACTGTTGATGTCTGCACAATAATTCCTAACAAATCCACGTGCATTCACGTACCTGTTCCCGCAGCTCTACTTTTATGTTTCCTTCTCTATAATATGTGTAAATAAGGAAGAATGACTCAAAAAATCATAGAGATAAAAATCCATCAATGATTGCATATGTGCACAAAAGACAGCCCATCAGACTAATGTGATAAGACTAATGACGGCTCCCTGATCAAACAATCCAGATGATATAAAGCTCTTGAGATGCTTCTGCGAATGAACTAATCAGGATGCAGCCTTTCGGCAGACACTATGTGGTGGTCAGGCCTCTGTTTTCAGAGGATTCATTCGCAGAGCAACATGAGAGGATCAACAGAAAGCGCAAAACACTACGTCACCATCTCAAAGACTATTTCAGGTAAGACTCAAACAGCAAAGATTGTTTATTAAGTATTTGCCTGTTGTTAGCATTTTACTGAATATTTAAAACAGCCACTTTTAATCTGTAAGACGTGTGTATTTACTGTTGATAAAGTGTGGAAATCGTGCAACCGAGGGATTTAATTAAGAGCAGAAAATGTTAAAAAATACAAATAATTTAAGTGTTTTAAGAAAAGAGAAAGATTAATTAAAGACTGATTAAAAGTTTAATCTTTACTTAGTTTGGAGATTTAGAAAATTTTCAATTAAGGTTTTGAGTTTTGAACAGCTTTATTACCAACTATAATGCTTGTTGATTCACTAAACAATAACTAAAGCCAGTTCTTCCTACTACGTTACATGTAAAAAACAATATTAATCGAAATTGTCTTCAAGTTTGAACTGCAATAGTTACCAGAAAATTCTAGTTGATCAAACTAGGTGATTAATTGGCTCAACAAAAAGCTCATTGAAAGTATGTGCTTCAGCCTACATCAGCTTGCATATTTTTCTAGTTTCTAGCAGTTTCTTTGCAGTTTTAGGTAAACGAATACTACGGTAAAGTTTGATTACAAAAACATTTGTTCCGTATTATGTTAATTATATTTAGAGGGAGATATTATCAACAAATAAATGATTTTTTCTTTGCACATCACTAAATAAATACCAAAAAACAACTTAAATGAGGTCTTTGCCTTGAAATTGATGATATTTGCCTCACCTGTTCATCTCCATATGGAGTGTGGTCAGTCTGTAGAATGCTTGGTTTGAACAGTGTTGTACTTGTAATGCAGGGAACTCGAGTTTGAGTTAGGAGAATCATTGTTCTATAAAAGAGAAGAAAGCAATGTAAAAAGAAGGTAAAACTATGTGGTCACACAGCACTTTTCTCTAATGTTTGCTTTTGAAAACACTATTGGTTGTATTTAGGGAAGGGTTTAGGACAGGGGTGGGCAAACTCGGTCCTGGAGGGCCAGTGTCCTGCACAGTTAAGCTCCAACTCCAATCAAACACACTTTATAGATTTCTAGTGATCTTGAAGACACTGATTAGCATGTCCAGGTGTGTTTGATTGGTGTTGAAGTTAAACTATGCAGGACACCGGCCCTCCAGAACCAGGTTTGCCCACCTCTATTGCATTTTTCATCTGAAACATGCAACAAAAATGTAACCGGGGCAACTTATTTTACATTTCACAAAAATGTAGGCTAAGACACATTTTTCCAATGAGCATGGGCTGGAAAATTCAAATGATAGTGAAGTTTGTTCTTATGAAGTTTGTTCTTATTGGTTCAAAATAAATTTGCTCTTATGATTTGCCTTTTGAGCGGCGTAAGCTTTAGCAAATTGTGTTTATGTTGTAGTTGTGATGCGAAACGTGCAAAGAATGCAGCTCTTTCGCTTTTTCCATTCATTGGATGGATGAAGGACTACAAAATCAAAGAATGGCTACTAGGTGATATTGTTTCAGGCATCAGCACAGGACTAGTGGCAGTGCTACAAGGTATTGTATGCTAGTTTAGCTAAACCTATTTTTTCAAGTCATAAACACTTCACTTTCGCATTTTACTTTATTTTTTTATCAGGACTTGCATTTTCTTTGCTGGCCTCTTTACCTCCGGGATATGGACTATATACTGCATTCTTCCCTGCTATAATCTACTTCTTTTTGGGCACCTCAAGACACCTGTCAGTGGGTATGTGTAATCTTGAGCAATGCAACATCATTAGTTAGGACTACTTAATTAGACTTTATAATAGAGTGAAGGTTTGGACATGGATGAATTAGGCTGTGCTTTGTAATTGGATTGTGTTTTAGGGGCTTTTCCAATTCTGAGTCTAATGGTGGGTGCTGTTGTGACACGACTAGTGCCTGATGAGGGACCCTCGTTCAACATCACTGGATTTGAAGGGTTGAGCCTGGAGCAACAGAGAGTTCTAGTTGCTTCCTCTGTTACTTTTCTCATGGGTGCATTTCAGGTTAGTTATTTATAATATCAGCGGTTAAATAGTAGACCAATTTTTACATTTATCCATATTACATTTATTTTTCTTTTATCCCATTAATTCATTAAACATACACATATTTTCTTTTTTCACACTGATGAATTTCAGTTTTTTATAAATATTTATATTTTTACATATATTTTCGTATTTCACCCCAATAAATAGTAAAAATATGATATTATTATTATTATTATTATTATTATTATTATTATTATTATTATCAGACAATTGGAACAAATATTTAAATATTCCTATAGCCTTATAATAAAAAATTATATAACTATTTCCTCAATATATTTCAATATATTAATTACTTTCCTTAAGGACACGACACATTTATATTATATATCATTAAGAGAATCACATTTCACCCAAAATCATAATAATAATAACAACAACAACAACAACAATAATAATAATAATAGCTGCTGCTGTTGTTGTTGTTATTATTATTATTATAAAGCATTAAATGATCTTATGTTAAAACTTTGTTCTGATTCTGGCTGAAGCATGAGGTAAAATGTGTGCTACTCTAAAAATGCATAACAATAACTTTAAATAAAGAAAAAAAATCCTGAAAACAATTTAAATGAAAACAATATCACATTACTCTTCTTGTCTGTGTATATCAAGTGTATGCCCTTGTTATATCCAATATACTATACACTAGCTTTAAGACTCATCGCTATAAATTTCTTTGTAAAAATGTCATTTGCAAATAAACATTTAAAAACCTTTGAATATAAATTTGATATTTCTATTTTTAATATAGCACACATTTTAGAATTAAATATAAAATAAAAGCACTACCCTCTCTCTTTCTGTTTTCAGCTTGTAATGGGGCTGCTGCAGGTTGGCTTCATAGTCATGTATCTGTCAGAAACTCTGGTGTCTGGATTCACCACCGCAGCCGCTGTTCACATTTTGGTTTCCCAGCTCAGGTTTGTGCTGGGCCTGGATTTTCCAGGTATAAACGGGCCACTTGCTATCATATATGTAAGTTAGTGCTTCCTTTCTAATGCACTAATATATTGTATATTGTGACTGTTTAGTATATAAAGCAAACATCCGGTCTTTGATTTCAGACTTTGGTAGAAGTTTTTAGCCGAATCACTAGCACAAATGTGGCTGACCTGGTCACATCTATTGCAATCATGGCACTGGTGCTTATTGTGAAGGAGATCAATGACAGATTCAAGTCTAAACTACCTGTGCCGATACCTATAGAAGTCATCATGGTAGGTTAAATTAATATTTATGACCACACTGCTTCTTTATTAAGCTTGAACACTACATTAAATTCATCCAACAGACTGTTATCGCTTGCGGAGTCTCTTATGCATTCAACTTTGAAGAACGATTTGACGTGGTCATTGTTGGGGAGATGGTGAATGGGTAAGAATCTAACAATATCTAATCTACAAAATCAACTATATAAAACTGAAATATGTATAATCAGCATAATGATATACTGCTATGGAAAAATTAATAGAGCATTGGATTTTTTTTTAGATTGGAGTTAAATATTTTAGATTATGGCTTTTGGATATTATTTTAGATATGGATTTGGATATATTATTTAAGATATGGGTTTTGTATATATATATATGTGTGTGTGTGTGTAATTATAGTCTCTAATCTTTAAGTCTAACAACATTTCTTCCAAGTTTCAACCAAAAAAGGTTAACTGTTAAAAGAAGGGAAAGAATTATGCTTATCTGTAATTGTGGTTATGTGTATAATATTGATTTCTTCTTAGATGTTTACTTAATTATGATTATAAACTGTAAATTCATATACTTTTTCTACAGGTGTATGTACAGTTGAAGGCAAAAATATTCAAATCTACTAATAAATATTTCAATAACAGATGTCACATCCATAAACAAGCTTTTTCCTCATAAATGCAAAATATAATAAAATCAATTCTTATCCTTTTAATTGGCATTATTTTGTATTGGGTTGTGCAGTTTGTTGTAAACTGTAAACTCAGTAACTGTTTCGTTCACATCCGTAGCGCATGTTTGTTTTTTCTTAAAACATGTTTAGTGATTAACACTATTCTGATCCTATAACTCTGTGTGGTTAGCTGTTTTGGAAAATATAAACAGATGTTTTAATATAATTTAACATATATTTTCTCGTGAATTTATGTTGAATTTTTACTGCAAATGTCCATAACGCTGGAATTTCGTTTTATTTTTTTGTCAGCCTGAACATTGGGATTTAAATAATTCAATATCACACTGGCATACTCCAGATTCATTCACATAAAATGTTATGTAATTTTATTTCAATTATTTGTTTTTTGTTCTATTATTATGACTGAACTGATACATTTCAAATGTACTTCATAATCATTGCTTTGGAGTTGAATACGGGACAAAACAATCTATCCTTTAGTTAATGAGATGAGTTAGATCAAAAGCACCCCGATGACATTACCTAAAACGTGTAGGTTTAGAAAACATTAAATAAACGGAATTTGTAAACAATATTGGATTCCAGTTTTTCAGTCATCTACACAGAATTGCACATACAGTGCTTAACATACGAGTACACCCCTCAAAAATCTCTCATTAAAATTTAAATTTACTATCGAAAGCTTTACAATATTATATTCATGCATGCATATACACTAAGCATGCATATAAACATTAACCAGAACTAAATCTAAATCTGAATCAAACAAAGCAACTTATGATAATGGTCCCAAATTAGTAAACCCAAATTTATATGTTAAGGAAAAATATTAAATAAAAAAAAATTACAAAAAGAAACAAAAAATTTGTATTGAAATTTTGCAGGTTTTTTGTTTCTTTTTGTAATTTTTTTCCAATATACCATATGGATTTAAATTAATTATCTTTCTATTTCTAAAGATGTTCAGTGACTAAACTATTATTTTAATAAATATCTCTGTTTAATAAATCTGCTTTGTTCAAATGCACCATAATATATTACCTATATTCACTGAAAAATGTATACAAATGTTCACTTTCAAAATAGAGTGTACTCATTTGAGTTGAGCACTGCATATTATATCAAAATCTAAACATATTACTATTTCTATTATGCAGATATGAATCTCCAGTTGCTCCAAACCTGGAAGTCATTGAGGAGACTGCAGTGGAGGCTTTCCCTATGGCCATAGTAGGATTTGCTGTGGCTTTCTCAGTAGCTAAAGTCTACTCTGTCAAACATGACTACACGATTGACGGAAACCAGGTGAGCAAATAAAAAATAGTCTGAAATGTGATGCATAATAAAAATGGACACATTTGTAAACACTCACCTGTATGTTACAGGAGCTCATTGCCTTTGGAGTGAGCAACATGTTTGGAGCATCTTTCCGCTCATTCGCCGCAAGCACAGCACTTTCTAGGACAGCCATACAGGAGAGTACAGGAGGAAAGACGCAGGTGAAATTCTCTCTCTCATGCCATTCCTCCATTTTACTACAAGAAAGCAAAGACAAAATGGTTATTGTTTGTTTTATAACACTTCTACCTAGATAGCGGGAATCCTTTCAGCCATGATGGTATTGATTGTGATCGTCGGAGTAGGATTTCTACTCGAGCCACTACCCAGGGTAAGAACTTTTTAGATTTTATACACAGAAGCAAACTGAATGTAGTCCTCTACAGTACTATTGTGCTATTTTGTATAGTTTAGGGTGTTAAAAGTTTGATCAAATACATGTTACATATTTTAGCTTGCGTTACATTAAACTGACTTAAAACATTAAAGTTAAATCACATATTAGCCATGGCAACATTTAGTTGAAGTCTTTTTATTAGCCCTTCTGAGAATTATTACCCCTGCTGAATTAATAGCCTCCCGTATATGTTTCTATATAACAGAAATAGGACTTTTTTCAAACACATTTCTAAACAAAGGTTTTAATAGTTAATTTCTAGATATATTTTTCAAGCATTCAGTTTAAATTGCAATTTAAATGTGTATTTTAGTTAATTAGGCAAGTTAGGGTATTTATTCAATTCAATTCATGTTTATTTCTATAGTGCTTTTTTCTTGTGTCAAAGAAGCTTAACATTGAAGTTCTAGTAAATTGAAACTGTAACAGTCCAGTTTTCAGAGTTTAAAATCGGTTTAGTTCAATTCAGTCAATTTAATTTTCACTGATGGAAGTACAAAAACTGAAGAGCAAATCCAATGATGCACAGCTCCACAAGTTCCAAACCAAGCAAGCCAGTGGCAACAGAGGCGATGAACAAACTTCACCAATTGACAAAAGTGAAGGAAAAAACCTCAAGAGAAATATTTAGGCACAGCATTTTATAATGATGGTTTGCTTTGTAGACAATCAAAAAAATACTGCTTAAGGTGGTTAATAATATTGACCTTACAATGGTTTAAAAAAAATTAAAACTGCTTTTATTCTGGCCGAAATAAAAACAAATAAGACTTTCTCCAGAAAAAAAAATATTACAATAAATACTGTGAAAAAAATCCTTGCTCTGTTAAACATCATTTGGGAAAAATTTTTTCACAGGAGGGCTAATAATTTTGACTTAAACTGTATGTCTTTGCTACTGTAACTTATTAAATCATTTTATCATTTTTGTTTTGATAATTTGACTCAACTTAGAACATTTAATGCGGGAACTATTTAAAAAGATTATAGTGTAGTTGTAGCTAAGGCCTGGAAAAGTTTGGTTTGTGTGTTGACATGTCTTCAAGACACTTTGTTTGAAGCAGTGTTAAGGTTGTGATCTATAAAAAACAAACTTGAAGAGGAAATGTGCGCAGCTGTCAGTAAAAGTGTGCATATTTAACTTAAATATTCAACTGCTTTAATTCGTCATAATTTAGCCATTAGCTATTCTCTTTTAGGAAGGTTTCTACATAGTTTTATAAATAAGACCCTTGATCTTTGAATAAACCTTTACAGTTATTTACAGTGATGCCTAACATACTTTATGAGAGATTAAAAAAAATAAACTATTTGACCTTGTATATATCTGATAAGTGACCTCCAAAAGATTTTTTTTAAATGGTTGTTTTAAACTCTCAATACATATAAACTATGCACTCTAGTCACGTAGGAGTCAAATTATGGCAGTTTTGCTTTTCTTTCCAGTCTGTTCTGGGCGCTCTGGTCATCGTCAATCTGAAAGGCATGCTGATGCAGTTCAGTGAGCTGCCGTTTCTATGGAGGAATGACAGGCCGGATTTTGTGAGTTTGTGGGTTTATTACCACAGATTATTTTGTGAATTGTCTTTGATCACTCAATCCTCTAGAGTAGTTTTTATCTTAAAGGGATTAGTTCATCCAAAAATACCTCTCATAATTTACTCACTTTCAAGTGGTTGTAAACTTTGATAAAAACAAAACAATATAATGTGAAGAATGTCGGAAAAAATGCAGCCACTGAAATGCATAGTAGTGACAAAATTACTATGGACGTCAATGGCTGTTTTCTTTTACTTTCTTCAGTATATTTTATGGAAGTGCTGAAAGGCTATGCGTTATTATATTTTCTCTCTCTATGTTCTCGTAATCATGAGAAAATTAAGTTATGATCATGAGAAAACGACTTTTTGTTACATCGAGATCATGAGGAAATAAATTATATTTATTGTGATCTCAACTTAACAACATAAAGAATGATGAAGATCTTGCTTTTGCGTTATTGCATTCTTTTTCAAGTTCTTAACAATTATTTTATAAAGTGAATCCCTGCAAATAATACTATATGAAATAGCTACTGTAAGCGTGTCAAGGACATCCTCTTATGCCTAATAAGCAGAAAAACATAAGCCGTAACCTTAAGAAAAATCAACTTTTGCTATATCAAGATGAGAAAATTAAGACATAATAAAAATGAGAAAACTTATGATATGTTGAGATCACAAGAAAATGCTGTCATGATCACAAACAAGAAACAAGAAAGAAAAATATAATAACAGGTCACCTCTAAGGACTTCCATAATATCTTAATATATTTCTTTGTGTTCAAAAGAAATAAACACAAAACAGGATGAGTAAAAAAGATGACAGAATTGGATCAACTATACTCTGACCCCTGAGTCTGAACATTTTTAAAGCAAGAACAAAACTAAAGTAAAATGTGTTTGTTCGCTTCACAGGTGACCTGGATGGTGACCTTCATGGCGTCTCTGTTTCTGGGTTTGGATCTGGGTTTGGCTGTGGGTATCGGGGCAGAATTGTTCACTGTGGTCTACAGGACTCAATTGTAAGTGTGGATTCATAATACCTTCAATTGAAACCAAAGCACAGGCAGAATATTGTTTTTTTGTGTGATTTTTTATTGACCACATGTGATAATATTTTGTATGCAACAGCCCACGTTGTTCTGTCCTGGCCAATATTTCAGGAACTGACCTCTATAGGGATCGTAAAGACTACACATCTGTGAGTGCCACTATTATGCTTTTTTATAGTTTTCTTTGATTTATTTTACAAATGCTTATTTTAATGGGATTTGATTTCAGATTCAGATTTACGAACCTGACGGTGTTAAAATATTTAAAATTCCCTCACCCATCTTCTTTGCTAACATCGATTTCTTTAGAGATAAACTGGTTCAGGAAGTAAGCTACTTTTTATTTTACAGATGTTTACAACAAATTATAGGTGTTTGTTAAACGTTTGGCGCTAAATGTTTGCTGTCTTCCAGGTAGGTTTTAATCCAATGAGAGTGCTGAAGAAAAGAAACAAAGCCTTGCGAAAGATCAGAAAAATGTTGTGCAATGGAGAACTGGAGGTGTCAGATGTAAGTCTTTGCTATTAAAATAATAAGATGTGTTTCTACAGGTGGTTTGTCAAGCCCACTCACCAGTGTGAAGCACACTTTATAAATGCACAATGTTTTTATTTTATATAGAGTGATTAGAAAAATGTGTCTGGTGCAAATGTGCAAAAAATCTGGTGCAAGTGTCTGTTAAGTGTCAGAGAGAAGAGTTTGTTTTCTATATGTGGTTTGTTAAACCCACTCACCTGTGTGAGGCATACACAAAATTAATAATATCAATTTATAGTATTATATTTTAGATTGAAAATAATAATTTATTTTATATAATATTTTGTATAGTACCCGTTAAATATTTAACTTACTGATTATGTTACATGAGATTTTTTTTAAATCAGAATTTTATCTAATAGTTGGACCAGATAAAAAAAAACTATATGACCTCATATATACTGACTTATTTTTTGTTGTTGCATTAATTGGCTAAATTAATAATGACAACTATATCTTCCTACACATATAAATAAATGTAATTTATTGAGCAGGATAATACGGGCAACTATCTTTAGTATGGTTTAATTTAATTTGTTTAATGTTAATGTTTAAAAATAGTAGTAAATAAATTCTGTCTAATAACAAAAACGGAGCTGTTCTTCTGCGATATGAAAGCAGTAACAAAACTTACATTCTTCTTGATCCAGAGAGGCCCTGTACTGAGACAGCCATCAGTTGACACATCAGAAGGCAGTATGGAGGATCTTGACCAGCCCATAGACTTCTCAGATCTCCCAATCCAGGTGAACTGGAACTCGCAACTGCCTGCCAACATCTCCGTCCCTCCTGTCAACATACACAGTTTAATCCTGGATTTCTGTGCAGTCTCCTTCATCGATGTATCTGCACTCAAGGGTCTGAAAGCGGTAAAACACTATATTATGAGACATATTACACTGTAAATTTAGTAAATTTATTAATATAAATATAGCTATGTCCTGCATTCATGATCAGAAATTCTTTAAAACTGCATTTTTGAAGTTTGTTTTTATCTTTACAGACCTTGAAAGAGTTTATACGAATTGAGGTGGACGTCTACATAGTTTCATGTGATGGTAAAAAAAAAAACTTTTTTATTACCTGCAATTTGATTCCAAAGTCTTCATAATAGGGAAAGTCAAAATCACCCAAAAATGAAAATCAATTTAAGCATAATCAAGTGGTTTCAAACATTTATGGGTGTCTTTTCCCTGTTGAACATTAAAGAAAACCTTTTGAACAATGTTGGAGAGCAGTATTTGCACTTACATCCATAGAAGAACTATAAAAGTCAATGGCTTACATTGTTCAAATCATCTTATATTTTTAACAAGTATACGGTAAATAAATGGTAGAATTTTTTGCAGACCTTCTGACTCCTTCTGCTTTTGCCACAGTGTACATCATGGAGAAGCTTCAGCATTGTACATTTTTTGATGACGAAATTAAGACTTCAATCTTTTATCCCACACTTCATGATGCCATGTTGCACATTCTGGAGACACATCCAGATCATGGAGAACTAGAAAAGGTAGCTAGATTAATGCAGATTAAATATTTCGACATAACCTAAAATTACAAGCAGTTTCTGTGGTCCATACTGAACTATGTATCTGTAATGTTTGCAGGATATAAACATAAACTATGAAGTCATCCAGAGAGACAGTTTAACTGTGTGATGAGGAACAGAAAACCCTGCTGAAATACTGAGGATTTTACTACACATTATAAAAACACTTATTTCAGTCTGGCTATGTAATGTTTAACTTCACAGCAGCAGCATTGTTATCATGTTTACTGGTAAGTGGACTTAACGTTAGAGCAAACGAATTCAGCTTGTTTGGGATTTAATGACAGGTGGACAAACAATCAGACATTTTTCATATTATGAACATAAATATAACGTTAATTTCTTACCTTTTAAGCAAAGTCTACCCATAGAGGTTATCCTAGTCCTTTGGGAAGACAGAAAATAAATGTAAACAAGCGGTAATTTAGTTTTTATAGCAAGAAACGTGTTTTCAAGACCTCACTAACTAGCGTGCTAGTATGCTAATTCCGACTCAATGAAGACAATCGATCACGTACCAATCATAGGCTAACGTTACTTACCGAATTAATAAATCTGCTCGTTTGCAGTCCACACCATATTTACTAAAGAAACAAAACCATGTTGCAGTGTTTATGTTACTTCCTGTATTTAAATATTTATGTACTTTATTGTGTCAAGTGTATGCATTCATGACCTACTTGTCTCTCCGGGGAGAACTTTGCACGTTTATAAGCTGCGTCCTGCATATATTAATGTTGTAATAAACTTTTTAAAAACCTGTGATGTAAATTAATGTATTTTAAAATGAATGCTTGTTTAATAAAACGTTTAAAAATGCTATATTGTCTGCTTTATATTTGTTAAATATCTCAGCACACACAAGTACATGTAAAAATATAGCCAAATAATTCAAAAAGGTCTAAATTTGTTCAATTCAATTGGATGATTTTATATTATTAAATAATTTAGTGTACTTTAATTTCTCAAATGGGTGAAAGTAGTGTCAGCACTTAACTTATTCGAAAAACAGAATCACCCTTATTATTTAACTTATTACAACAAATGAAAGTAATCATACTAAACTTTATATTTTGATTACCTCTGTAGGATACTAACATAAAACAATTAACATTCTAATATCTTGTTGTTTGAAACCAGTCTCTGACCAACAGATGTGTAGATCCTCATATAATGTTCATCACTTACCTGTTGATTTAAGTTTGTACAAACTCAAAGCTCCTCTGTGTGCAAGATATAATACATCACACTGCCATATGCTTTTTAAATGATTGTAAATATTTATATGCTATTATTATTTAAAAAGACACATTTAAAGCATTAAGTTAGACACCAGATACATCACACAATAGAAACAGATTGAATTTGTACATTTAATTGTGAATACATTCAAGAAACACCACATTCAACAATCAACAAAAGCCCCTAAAAATGCAGCATGTATGGGCTCGATTATTAAAAAGTAAATGTTTGAATATCTGACGATGACAAGATTTTTAAAACACCATTCAGTGAGTACTGATCTTTGCTATACAGTTAATAGTTTTCAGACTATAAAATATGCAATTGAATCCCTGCCAGCTTGACAAACTAAATCACTTTATTCGGCAACAACAAAGAAAAAAAAAATCAAATACACATTATTACTGGTAATACGGTCTGTATCTGCCCTGATCTGGGTGATGGGGCCCCGGCATCTGTCCCTGCGGAGGGGGACCCTGCATTCGTGGTGGGGGGCCTCTGGGGGCTGGCCACATCCCAGGACTCAAACCTCCCGGCTGATTGAATGGCGGGCTGAGTGTGCTCTTGTCCTCTGCAAACTGAGGGTTGTAATGATGGGGTGGCGGGGCATTAACTGGGGGTCCGCCATGTTGTGGGGGTGGCCCGGGTGGAGGATGGTTCATAAATGGTGGCATCTGACCAATGAGGTGTCCGGGGGGTGGGGTTATCGGAGGTGGGACTGATGATAGAGGGGGAGGGGCTTGATTAAAGACCATATGGGGTGTGTTGGAGCCTTGTCCCGGGTGTGGCATGGGGTGACTGATGGGTGGAGGTGGAGGCGGGCCGTAATGCTGCTGAGGTGGCGCCATCATGTGGTGTGGATGGGTCACAACAGGCTGACCCGTATAGTCTCCAGGATGATGGTGAGGTGGGGGAGGATTTCCGGGTTGAGAGAGCGGGTCTCGGGATGGTCCGGAGCCGGAATCATCTTGGATTGGAACAGTGATGAGGTTGCTGTGTTTTCGAGTGGTGACAGTTGAGATTCGGAAGGTCTCCTGTGAGAGGGACCGGGATGGGCCCATGTCTCCAGGTGGTTGTCCTTGAGGTCTTAGGTCATCATGAGCAGAAGGAGGTGGGCCGTATGGGTCGTGTCCGGGATGGCCTAAAGGTGGAGGGATGAGTACGTGGGGTTTGGGCAGGTGAGGTGGAGGTACGCGGAAGCGGTCGGACACTTCAGAGGGAGGAAGGTGGAGAGAGTCAGAGCGGCTGCTGGAGCTCTTGCCAGAGCGCATGTGCCGGTGGTTGATGTGGGCCTGCAGGTCCCTCTGGGACAGATAGGTCCGTTTGCAACCCTGAACAATACTGCACATGTAGAGAGAGCCACGTTGGCACTGCTCAATCCGCTGGACCGGGTCTGTACAGCTGTACATATTTAGACTGAAAACAGAAGACAAGGCAGAAGAAAAGTTGGTCAAATATCTTTATAAATCTAGAATTTGAGACATTAAAGTTAAAATCAGATTTCAATAACCCTAATAAAAAGAATATCTAGATTACTTAAATTGTTAAACCCTATACAAAAAAAACAAAAAAAAACAAGATAGGTTGGAACAAGTAACTGATTATTGGCGGATGTGAAAGAATGTTATTTTTTATAGGGTATACAATTTCTGAATGCAAATTGACAATATGCATAGTAGTTCAAGACTAACATATTCCAGGCAAATCAAAATTCTTGATGAATTTAATTTTTTTGTTGTGAAATGTAGAATGCAAATTGTTGAAGATGATTATTTAATAAATAAATCTAAAAATCATTAAGTAATTTGATTGCAGCAATGCTCAAAAACATTCACATTCAAAGTGGTCTCCACAATGGAGTTTTAGTAAATTTTTTTTAAGCTTCTAATTTTGTATTGGAGGATTCCCACTATATATTTACATGCACCCAAAACAATGTTCTGTTCAATAGCTGTGCAAGACAAAAGCTGTGCATTATTCTTACCCTGGACACATCTTATCACCCTTCCTCTCATGATGTAAAGCACAGTCATAGCAGAAAACGTGCTTACATGGGATCTGCGAAGAAATAAATTTAACATGTTAAAAAAAATAAATGTAACAAGTCATGAAAGTATTAATTCACATCAACAAAAATCTACATGCATTCACTTCATGCAACTATTCTCACCATGCGGCCGTATGTTTTAATCGGCAGTCCACATTTGTCACAGAAATGAACAGGCGTCTCATCCTTCTCACCGACCAAGTTTAGCTTAAAAAAAAAAAAAAAAAAGAAAGAAAGCAGCAAACTATTATTACAGCAATTCAAAAATGACCATCTAATTATTGAAGTTTCAACAGGAGAACTGTGTTGTCTTAAAATGTATATAAACATCTGAAACTTTACACAAAAAATAAACTAACTGACAGCAGTTGTGTTATAAATTTAGAAGAAATGTCATCAAGTTCACAGATGAAAACTAAAACTACAATTTAATCACTAAACACTATAAATGAGACATTTCTAAACCTTCCTCTCAATTTTCCCTCATAGCTGTATGTTTGAATAAATTTGTTGTAAATTTGTTGAACTATAGGTTTAATACAAATTTGTGCGTTTACGTTTTTTTAATTATTAAAATTAGTTTAAAACCATTTTATTTTGGGCTGTGTATTAAATACATAAGATTTAAGCAATCATTACATAATTATTATTCAAATCTTCCTATAAAATATTTACATTTTAAAGTAAAATTAAAAGAACATATAAAATATTTTATCAATACAATGATCTAAGTAAAAAAAAGTAACACACAAATAATGTATGTGGTAATGGGGTGGAAAAATAATAAGCTTGTGTTTTATCCTGCTCTAATTTCGACGATGTTGAAATGTATTTTTTGTTAAATAATTTTTATGTAAGACATTTCTGTTCGAAAATAAACAAATCAAATCTACAAAAAAGGTTGTTTTTAGTATCCATTTTTTACCTTGTAATCCCAGTAAAGTTGCTGTGGGAAGCGACGCTGGCTTGCAAAAGCATCTCCTGATTTGACACCACAATCAAACCGGTCCTCCTTCTTGAAGTTAAAACCTTTTGAGAGAAACAGTGATCAGAAAGCGAGCCGGGCAACATAACACATCAAAATGTTCGTGATAATATGAGGACTGTTTTACACCCACATTACCTTCCTCTGCAGAATGGCTTTTGGATGGTAACCGTCCCGTTGGTCTCTGGGGTCGTGGGGCAGGTTTATTTCTGGCCTGCTTTGGAAGAAGTTTGATTGGGATCCTCCTCCTGACATCAGGACCACCTAACGGCCCATCCGTACCCTGCATATCATTGTCTGTATGGAAAAAGAAAAAAATGTATATTTCAGTAAAAAAAAAGACTTCTGACACCTATAATTTTGTCAATTATACGATTTTGAGCTTTACATAAATACCTTTTTAAGTCTAATGTAAAAAAAAAAAAAGCATATTTTTTTTTCATTTTTTTAATCAAACTTTGTTTGCAGTTTTAAATCACAACACATAATATACATTTCATTATGCAGACAAATGTGAAAACTTTTTCTGGCTGTTTTTCTTAACTATGGAGTGACAAGATTCCCACAATCCCCCTTCTCTTGTCTCAAAATAAATGAAATGGGATATTTAAAACTGACATCATGTTTTGTGCTAGAAATGCACGCAAAGTGTGTCGTCTGCATATCGAAACAATACATTCAATAAAAATTAAAACAATTATGTCTGTAATTTTTAATGCTATCAATTACCTGAGGAAGTAGGGTGAAAACAACTTGGTTTTTACCCTCGAGTCGATCCATAATAGTTTTAAAAAAGTAGCTTAACTTATCACAAATTAACACTTCAGAAACAAACATTTGTGCATAAAGAAATTTTGATATTGGTGTAAATCCTGATGTGAACGATCTAAAGTTAGCAGTTAGCATACTAGCAAGCATATATGGTACCATTTATCTAAACCTAAGATAAGGTTAAATAATCAAGCAGTATGCACGCTTTATCACACTTCTCATCTATATTTCGCTACAGACTTTATTTAACAGACTCAACAAACGCGATTAAACGGCCTCAGGAAGATAAACGCCACATTGACACAGAGGCCGATGCTGATTTCGTAAAAGGCCTTAAACAGGATGCACAAATTGAGCTAGCTTGTTTGCCTAACCTCAAACGTATGTAAGCGCCCGGCGAAGTTACCATTTGCTTATATGTAACACGTTTTAAACTGAGAAATAATACTGTGATTGTAAACTATGAAATTTCCCTCCTTACCACTATGGTCCATAACTGTGTGAAGGGAACGTTCAACAACGCTTCCGGTTTGTGCTCTTCAAAACAGAAGTCTCACAAGGTATTCAAAACAAAAGTCACTTCAAGGCAAAACTGTGTGCTCGTTCGAAAATTGCAAAATGAAAATTCATAAAAACTATTGATTCAGTAACAGTGTGTTATTTCTTATGACAGTGGTCTTGTAAATATGTTCGCTAATAAATATTATTGCTATACGTGTCTGTCTCAATTTTTTTGGTGGTTTTATTTACACAAATTTTCCTTATTATTGTCAAAATTAAATGTCAAAATATGAGTGCATTACTGTTAATCGGTGTAACATACCCTATGAACACTTTGCTGTAGGATTTACAGTAACTTACTGGCAGCAGTTCGGCAGTAATTTACTGTAAATCAATTACAGCAAAACTACTGTATTTGCAATTACAGCACCATTACTCTTGCTGTATACGCATTTACAGAATTACATGTATATATCTACTGTAAAATATACAGTAATTTTCACAATGCTTTGCAATACAGTAACATACAACTGCCCTTCAGTAACATGCAGTTCTTGATAAACTAAAATACTGTGTAATTTAAACAAATCTTTGACAGCATATCAGCGTTTCAGATTAGACCTTGTACTTGCTAAAATGTTTTCAACCCTTTGATGCACAAGCTATAAAATAGATATAGAAAAAATAAGCTTAAACGGGTCACTTTTGACCCATGTAGTGCATCAAAAAGTTCAATTTGTTACCAGTTTGAAGCATTGGAAAAAAAATAAGGGTTTAAAATGACAATTAATTAGTCTATTGGTCTGAACTGTAAGTCTTTTAAGATGCCATCAAACAATTATTCTATAAATCATGCTAAAATGCATGATGGACATTTATTTATTTTTGCATATAAAAGACAAACAAAATACTATTGGCCATTATTATTGCCTTTCAAACACCCACAGACAAATATCAAGTGCATTTTCAAAATTATTTACTTACCAGAGACTGACAGGAGATTAAAAACGTCAGAGTTTAGAGATGCAAGTCTTCTGTATCCATCACACGTGCAAGCCCGTAGCCAGGGGGGATTCGGGTGGTTCGAAATACCCACCCCTCACTGACAACAAGGTTCCAGAATTTGTCCCATACCTGAGCTCATTTCTATTTTGTTTGCTATGCCATGATAAATTTAGGAAACACATCAAAAAAGGCTTTAAGACCAAGTAAAGTCATCTTCCGCAAGTTTATTGTTTTCTAATAGAGAAAACATTTTGCAAGTGACTTTAATTGTAAATCTTAGACCTTATTATTGAAACAAAAATTGACCAATAAAAGTTGTAAAACACCAACAGCAGCCCATATTAAATTAATTGTATTTTAAATTAAATTAATTGGCTAATGTTGTTATCCAAGATTTTTTTAAATGTACTTTTTTACAAGGAAAATCTGGCTGGAAGGGTAAAATATATGCCTTAAAACATATGCCGGAATAGTTGGTGATTCATACCACTGTGGCAACCCCTGATAAATAAGGAACTAACCAGAAGAAAAATTAATAAATGAATAATTATTATTACTATGTTTTAATAATTTTTTAATTCAAATTCTGACAGAGAAAGGTTGAATGTGCTGGTCAGTTCGCTATTTGCCTAATAAACGAAAATAAGCTACAGTTTATAATTTAAAACCACTCCACTTAAAACCACTTCCGATTGTTTTATAATAATAATAATGTGATAAATTTGCATTAAAAAATAAATATAGTTTTCAAATTTCTATTCTAAATCCTTAAGAAATGTTTTTGGTACATCAAAACGTGTGGTTATGATGACCATCTGACAAGCTAATTCAGCTTTCAGTATTTATGCAGTATTTAAACCTCATAATTAAATAGAAAAGGAGACAAAAAAAAAAGAACCCTCCCTTTCACCAGGCTGGCTACAGACCTGACATGAGGTAACAAACCCACATGAGTGTGTAAGTAATGAACAAATGCAGTGCTCTCAGCTGCTTTACTGTCCTCTACAGGTCAGAAAGAAAGCGACAGCAGCAGCAGCAGCAGCTTCTTCTTCCTGAGTGTAAACCCTGCAGGCGTGGCTGCAGGTAATCACTGTACTGAGACACATCACAGCAACACACGCAGATTAAAGGACGCTGCTGTAAGTTACCCAAAATGCTCATTCCTTTCATTTTTCATCATTCATATTTTGATCAAGCTGACTTTAACACAAACGTCTATGTTGAAATGTTGCAGGGCGGCGTCCGTTTTAATCTACAAACAAGGTATGATCTTGCTTTTGTTTTCCATTATACACCTGTCCTTTGTTATCAAGCAAAATGGAAACACTGCTGACTGTAAATACATGTAAGGTGATGATAGAAACAGGATTCTTTGTAATATATTAATGTTTTATCTTAGTAAATATATTATTTAAGTAGCATGTCTTTGGAAAAAATGTAAAAACTGAATTTTCTTGGTATCTAGAGATGAACTTCTATTTAAATAAAATAAAAAATGTTTTGATAAACATCAGATGCTGAACAGACTTTAAGTGAAAGTAATCAAGTTAGATCTTCTGATCTCAGAACTCATCGAGCTCTCTGAAACATTTCTGCGTCACAGTTTATTTTGACACAATACTTCTTGTGTTGATTAACAACACAACATTCATTAAAGGAACTAACTTTTCCCTCGACATTTAATGTAATAGTCCAGAAAAACACTCCAGCTTTTAGCAGTTTGGCTGATTTGAATGAAGATTTGCATTAGACCTGATGTTTTCAACAGTCACATGAAGGAGAATAAAAGCGTTTGTTTTTCATTTGCTAAACCCCCATGAACCATAAACGCACTATTTACACTATCAATAACCGAGATGAATCTTAATCATCACAATAGTGAAAGTAAGGCCCACGGTAAGGACTGAGTCATCTTTCTAGAGTATTCTGAGCTGTGTACGTCCTTCCTCTTTTTAATTCCACAGAGACCAGAGCCCTCTAGCATTGCAGGAAGTTGTGTTTATGGCTGCAGGTGTTTTTCAAAACACCATTGTATGAGAGGTGATGTCATGTTGGAACACTATGGCAGCAACAGACACAAAAAAAGCCACACCCAAAGTCCTCAGATCACATGCTCTGTGTGTTTACAGAGCGATACTAGTTCGTTGAAAAAATATTAAGTCACGTGAGGCAACACGAAAAAAAAAGAGGGCAGGGCGAAATAACAAAGTCCTCTTGCTCCACACAAACAAAATCAAGAACCGCAGCTGAGAAAGGAAGTGGAAAAGTGGAATATACAGTAGGCAAATGAATGGATGAATTAGTTTCATCAATATGATCTCACACCTTGCAGGACACAATGGTGGAAGAAACTAGACAGCAGAAAAACGCCACAACCCTGCAGGCTGGACCTGCTGAGGTTGACCACAGTAATCTCTATGCATTCAATATGAGGTAATTGTTTGTTTAGATCAATTCTGTCAAAAGATTTATCACCTTAACTGCATCCCCAAAAAGTAATTTGTATTTATATAATATTTACTGAGTGTACTCTGTACAATTACTCGCTCTCAAAAAAATAAAAAATAAATTATATATATATATATATATATATATATATATATATATATATATAAAACATGAAATAAAGAGAAAAAATAAGAAAAACGATTAAACACAGATTAAAATGTGTTAAAACATGTTTTAAAAATTCTATTAATAAATAAATATTTATATAAATAAAATATTCATGTATACATAACAACACTAGTTTAATATAAATATTATATTGAACAATAGAAATGATATGATATTCAAACCATTTCCACAATAACTGTTTTTTTTAAATCCAAATATCAGAGTCACCCAGACTATCGGACGACAGCTGGCTCAAATAGGGGACGAAATGGACAATAAATGGCGCCAAGAACCGCCTGTCCCATGGCAGAACCTGAATTTCGGGATTTATCCTTATGTCCTAAGTAGGAGAGTGTTCTCTGGGTGAGTTTACAGTCACATGAATGTGCCTAAAGCAATGCATATGGCAGTATTGATTGAGTGTGAATTTCTTTTAATGTTTTAAGAAGAATCCTCGCTAATCTTTGGGGGTCTAAGATTATGCCGATATTCAGGACGTCCTGGTTGCTTCCACAGCTTCAAAATGGCTGTCAGGAGGCTAGAAAGTGGGCAGCTTGGGTAAGGACAATGTTTATTTTGTGTCTGAAAATAGACATGTATCAGTCAATGAAAAAAGTTATGTTGGTTACACAGACTGTAATCCAGTCTACAGCACTGTTTGAAAGTTTGGAGTTGGTATGTTCTTTAGCTGCACTTACAAGATAAAAAATACAAGAATAACCATGCTGTTTATTACTGCTATGGCATAGTTGGTTTTTATAATAATAATGATAATAGTAATAATTATTATTATTACCGTTATTATGTCTTTGATGGAAAGTACTATTTTGTAACATTTTAAAATGTTCTTTCTCTTCTTTATAAATGACCACTATTGTTGAGTCATTCCAAGAAGGGGCCAGAGTACCTGTATAGAAGGCTGAGTAGTAAACATTAACTAATAATGGAGTAATGGTGTCCTTAAAAGCCTTATAGAACTCATTTAAGAAACTGTCTGGACCGGGACTTTAGTTATTTTTAAGATTTGAGATTGTGTCTAGAATCTCTTCTCTGCAATTGGTTTATCCAACTCGAATCTCATAGATTTCAACAACTATATACTACCAAAAAATGCTTAATTTCCTGATCATCTGAGCATGTATTATTATTTTTACACAACGACTTGTACAAGTTTTTCAGAAATCTCCTTAGGTTTTGTAAACATTTATTATTATTCTAAATATTCTTGGATTTTAGCTTTGTTACAAGGTTTGTGGATTGCTGTTTCTTTAGGCGGAGAACAGCCTGATTATAATTGTTCTTTCCATTACATTTGATCATTTTATTGTTGCAAAATAAAAAGAGGGAATTTTTCTCTTTTGCACTGAAAAATCCCTTTTGGACAGTATTTCTACTCGTTTTATTTTTATTTTTTTGCATTATTTTTTCTTAAAAAAGCACAATATCAATATCACAGTACAAACCTTTAGTGTGGTTCTTAACTAGAAAAACAGTTATTAAATTTATTAACTGTATTTCTAGAAATGTATAATTCATAAATGTATATGCGACTAAAAAACAACTTTTTAAAAGTACTCATATTTTTTTTCAATCTTTCCTCAGGTGTCCAACTTGCATGTTTCTGACTGGTCTCGCAGCACTACATACACCCTGGCATCTGCTTTACTACTGGTCACTGTGTCTATCTTCCTTGTAAACTGGAATGAGTATGAAGGCTGAATGTGACAGAGGGGTCAAGAGCTGGTCTTTGGCTCAAATTTAACCAATCCTGTTTTATTTTAATTTTTGTTTTGTTTTTTAAAGAAATCGCTTATTTTGCATTCTCTTTTATAACTATGAAGTAAATTTTTGCAAGAAGTTTAAGACTGTTCTCTTTGTTTGTTTATTTGTTGGGTCTATTTCTGGAAAATTGGGCCAATGAATTATTACCTCTTCCTATAAAAGTTCTACTAAAGGAAGCTGGACTTTCCAAAACACCAAATGCAATAAAAAATGTTTAAAAAAACAAATGCTTTGGCTTATTTTTTTTGGCATTTTTATCTGAAATATACCAGTTTAACTGCACATAAGCAAATCAATCCTCAGCTAATGCAACATCTACATGTGTATAGTTCTTGAAAGCCTTCATGTTACACTTCTGTAGCATCGAGCCCAAATGTCTACCAGGTCCCACCTCATATGTGTGAGGAAACTCCTGTCCTTGGGCTCTTTGGTAAATCTCATGCAGCGTCTGCTCCCATTTCACCGGAGACACCAATTGTTTGGCCAGCTGATTGCGAATGTGCTTGTCATGCATGTAACGTTTGCCGTCCACATTGGAGTGCACCGAGATCTCCGGCCGCCGCACCTCAATCTTTCTGAGGACGTCTCTCAGAGGCTCAACTGCCGCCTCCATCAGTGAGGTGTGAAAGGCCCCGCTGACCGGCAGCAGTCGAGTTCTCATGAAATTCAGCTCTTTGGAACGTTCTTGAAGAAAATCCAAAGCCTGTGTAAGAGAATTATGGTTAAATAGGAATATTCCTGTATTAATGGTCCGATAAAGTGCTTTAAAATGCACAGTTTTTATTCGATGTTTACGATTGAGACGTAATCTCAACTGAAACCTGAAAAGAGGGGGGGAGATATAGTAGCCCCTTCCTTTTTAAAAAAATCTGCTAATATGGTTGTTTTAATAACATCACAAACTTTTTTTTTTTTTTTTTTAATTTCACTGGACCTTTAATGCCTTTTTATTTTATATTTGAATGTGTGTACACAGCAAAAAATTACACACACCCAAAACTTCCTAGGTTGTCACTAGCTTCATTTCCATTTTAATTCAAATTGTACAAATTAACATTGAAAAAATATGTAAAAAAAAATAAAATAAATAGGGCTGCAACTAACAGCTATTTTAATAATCGATTTATCTGTCGATTAATTTTTTTATTACTCGATGAATTAGGAAGAAAAAAAACCCAAACGCATTCATTTCCAACCCTTTAGTCAATAACAGAACTAAAATCTTTAGAAAGTGCACACACATGTTGTCCTTGAACATCCCTGAGCTGTTATAATAATAATAATAAAATAAACTTAGTAGTTTTGTCCTGTTTTTAATCCAAATATCTACAAAAAAATCCTAAATCAAGACACATACTGGACACATCAATTAGCATAAGAAATTATGTCTTGTTTTCTGAAAAACCCACCTCAAAATTAAGTGATTGTTTGCTTAAAACATACTTTTTGCCAATGGGGTAAGAAAAGTAATCTTAATGAGATATAATCTCAAACAGAAGTTTTAAGCATCACTTCATTTTCTTTTGCCGTTTTTATTGCCTAGTCTTGATTTAAGTTTTTTTTTATATATATTTGGACTGGAAATAGTTTATTTAGTGTGAAATGCTCCCCTACCTTGGAAGACTAGGGTCGCACAGATATTTCTAACGTTAGGCTGTTTTTTTTTTTTTGCTTCGTCTTGTCTATGAGGTGCCAAAATCTGCTGGCATCAGTGTGCGAGAGAGGCAGAGCGCGTTCACTCTGCTCCGCGCTCAACTAAAGCTTTTTTTTAACAATCAAATCGTCTCTACGTCGCACGACACGACACAACGAATCATTGCCAACGCTTTTAGTAATCGATTCGCTTTTGTAGCCCTAAAAAATTATAATAGGCAACCAGTTGACCAAAGTAACGTACAATATTTGCTTTATAAACATGTTATTAACACATAATTACATTATATTATTAACAAGCATTTTATTTCTCTCAAATATACTAAATTTAACAGTATTTTATTATAACAATGAAACTACTAAAAACTCCTACAGTAGCACTCAATTATTCCTAAATAAATGCCTTTAAAGTGCAAATATACAGCAGTGTGTGTGAAATTGCAATGCAAACAATAAAATGCGTCTCTCATTCTGTATCAGTCATTATGATTTGTGTGCATTGAGCATGTTTTATCTGCTTGAAATGAATGGCATTATTCAAATTATTTTTTAGCTGATTAACAAAACATGATTTGTATTGCAAAAAATTTAGCATTTAGTTTTAGAATCCCTTTTAGGGCACTCAATTAAATATTAATTAGGAAACTCAGGAGTGTTACTGAGGGTTATTACAAGACCTTCAGACTTTTTATGACTTTAAAAAAATTATATTGTAACCAAAGTCAAAGAGGCTATTATATTTGTTTTTCGCCCAGTAAAGGGTTGAAGCACTTTTCTGGTCTTGACAGTTAAATAACCAAATACTATTTATATTAGATTTTTATAATAGCTTACTATATTTTACATTTCACATGATACCTCTTTGTGTCCAGCTATGACTCTCCCGTCTGGAAAAAGGTAGTTGGCGACGGAGCACACAGGGTCTTGGATCCCAAGAGAAACACAGTGCTCTCTAGCTCGGACACAGGCATGTTTGTAGTGGGCTTGAGGTCGACCTATCACAGACAACATGCCACTGGACACTTGATCAGAGGCCTTCTGCATCGCCTCTGCCCTCACCTTCACCGCAAACAAAGCTGCAGGCAGAAAACAGCACTATTGTGATAAGCTGATCAAATGGAGCTGATCAGCTGATCTTTCTGGATGTCCTAAAATTTTTCAATAATATTCTCGGGTCATATATTGCCTTAACTATCAAAAACAATACAAACAATAACAGTATTTTACACAATAAAAATGATAGGTATGTATATATTTAATTATGAGATTATAGGGTATATGCGGACCTAGTGTTTCTTCCCATACCGATAAACTTCCTGTGAATGATTAATGTAACTTTTTTCCATTTAATATGGCTTTTTTACAGCATCAATGTTGTAATGTAATTAAAATACAATCAGTTAAATAGACTTTAGCATTCATTTAGTTGCTCAAGCGTAAAACAAGACAAAAAGCCGTTTACTCGCACGCACCTGTCAGAATCGGCAGGCTAGCGCAACAGATCAATTGAATATACAGGGGTAAAATAAATGTTCATATTTTAAAGGCATGGCGGGGAAAATGTAATTTAATGCTGTACTTGTACAATCTGAGAACCACTTAATAGCAGATAATACTCCAGTGGAGATCGCTGATTTTTAAAGAAAACAGACCTTAAACGTGCTGATTTTGTAATGGCATACAGTTCACGGGAAGCGCTTAACCCAGGTTACTGACAAATTAAAAGTCCTTTAGCATACTTCCATTTGTGCATTCATACCCTAGTGTGACATCTCCAAAATTCTCAATATTGTAAAGATTAAGCAATATTTTTTATTCAAAAGTAAAATAGTATATCAAAAAACATTTGCTACTTTATAGATCAATTACATATCACTACATATGATTTTTAAAATTATATATATAAGACAACATCAAAAAAGCTTTTCCAAATAGTCTTGAGACAAAAATGGGTGTTGTTGAAGAGTTTTAGAACAACTTTGATTAAAGATTTTGATCCACTTCAAATGTTGACAACTGTGCAAGTGTCTATATATAAAATAATTTTAAATTCCTTTTTTAAATTGCAAGCTTGTGGTCCAATATTTTACATTATTTACTTTGAATTGTCCTCAATATTATTCCAGTATTAATATTAAAATAACATCACAATGTAAATACATTGTTGTCAAAGAATATAAATATGAGAATGACTTAAATTAGAGACGAATATCAGATAGGACCTATTATTTCTGGGGTAAAGATTTATATTTAATGCCTGTGTTACTTCAATAAACTATTAAAAAGTAATTTACAATAACAACACAATAGTCTAGACTGTGTATAAACTTTGCTTGTGCTTAATAGTAATAAGGCAATTAAATGTCCAGAAGCTTTATGCCTGACTTTATGAAACAAAAAATGCATCATAAAATACAGATAATACTTTGATCAAACATACCAATTTTTCCTTTTGATTTTGGTGATAAATGACCAAGCTTTTTGCAAAAAAATACAATTCAAAAAGCACTAATTTTTGTAAAAAATTTACCTTCAGCGAAGTTCATTGCACCAGAAAATACCAAAGCTGCAAATTCACCAACACTGAAACCTACAGCACTCACACAGCTCTCAATAGCCTAAAAAGAAGAGTTTATATTAATATTACATCATCCACACATTTACAACAGCCAGTCCTAATAGACTTACTGCAGTATAATAGCATATACTGTAACTTACAGCAGGGTTTTCATGGTTGAGTCTCTCCACAGCAGCCAGAGAACAGACAAACACCGCAGGCTGACAATGAACAGTCTTCATAAGGTCTTTCTCTGGTCCATTTAAGCACAGAGACAGCAGGTCATAACCTAGCACCTTCTGAGCGACAGAAAACATCTCCTTGACATTTCCATACTTTAGCAATCCTCTCCCCATACCGACGAACTGACTGCCCTGCCCGGGGAACAGCAGGATGGTCGCATTCCCCGGAGCTCTGCGTATTTTCACGGACTGAGGTTCTTCAGGAGCATCTGACAGTCTTCTGTAAACCGAGACAGTCGCTTTATTCCGACACACACGAGCTCTACTATAGGACCTAAGAGTCACGCTGAGATTCATCGTGAAATAAATTAAATAACGTTATACAGAAATCATAGACTGTTTTTGAGGAGGTCAATCGGAAATCTGTCTGTTTGGAAGCGTGACAGGAAGTCAGCGCGCGCACATGTGGCACAAAACTGTACGGCTTTTCTGCGATCTCATTATTTTATTAGGTGATATATACGACCAAATCCATATTAAAACTTATATTGGCACAGTTGTGTTTCTTCTCACATGTCATGTGTGGGTTTATTTTCTTCGATTCTTGTATATTTTCGGTGAAAAAAAGGTACAGCGGCATCTACTGTATTGGAGGCAATAGTCTATGTTCGACTGAATATACAGTTCTACAGTATCTAAATATGTATTATTAATGGCCATAAACAATAATAAGTCGCTAAATTTCACGGGAAAATAGACAAGGTAAGTTGTCTTTTCGTTTCTTTTAATACAGTTGTTTAAAGCGTTTATCTTAAGCAATGGTTAAGTAGGCCAGGCCTATATTTATATTGACCAGTTACATTTTAGATTTTGGTTGTTTCTTGCATTACACAATTATTTACGATTTTAATTAGTTTGAAAAGTCATTAAACAAATTAATAACAATACCAACGTTATTCAAACTGTAATGTGATTAATATAATGAATTACATGTGTAATACATATTAATAAACAATCACATTAATAAATATAAATCAATATAGAAATGTTATATAAATAAAAATAAACACACACACACACACACACACACACACACACACACACACACACACACACAAAGGATGATGTAATAATATAATACAATTGTGATTTTATAAATATTAATAATTTCCAAACATGTGCTTCTCAATTATGTAAAATAATTCATGAAAACGAAGTGTGTGTGCGCGTATAAACATACACACATACAAATCTGACATAGCAATATTTTGTTTTGCTGCAATATATATTGTGATATGAATATACCTTCACCTGATGGTTTGAATAGCTCTGTTTGGAAAGATTTCTTTCATTTAGATCGATTAGGATGACCAAGTCATTTTCTTTGCAGTGCATCTGCCTAAAATATAATAAATGACAAGCATATACACAGTGCTCAGCATTTACACCTCCCAACAAATCTCTCATTTAAACTAAGGTTTTCTATAGGAAGCTTTACAATATAATATTTATACAATATTATAGTCAGTCTTGAGGCCAAATCTAGTTCAAAAATTAGTAGCCCAAATTTATCTTTGGGAAAAATATTTTATACAATTTTTAAAAATAGCAAAAATCAAGAGAAACAAAAAATATATAAAATTTCCTTGAAACGTTGTAGTTGGTAATTTTTTTCCCCAATATTTTGCATGAATTTAATTCTATTATCTTCCATTTCTAATGATGTTTTGTGACTAAAATATTATTTAATAAATATATCTGTTTAATAAATTTGTTTTGTTGAATTGCACCAATATAGAATACCTACCATTACTAAAAAATGGATATACAAATATTTTTATACAGTATTCAAGGACAGAAATCAAACATAAAATAACATGGTCACCATCGTTGTATAAATAATGAACTTTTAAATAATATTTCATATCTTTCTGTAATCTGTAATAAACAATTACAATAGCAATGCAATATATATATATATATATATATATATATATATATATAAAACACATAATATATTTCTGTCAACTTTGTGATGTATATGTTTTTTTATATAGAATTTATTATGACTATTATTAATTGTTTGTGACAAGTGTTACTAAATGACAGTGTATTCTTTAAAGACGTAAGCTTTGAAATCACAGGTTATACACCAGACAGCATCTGAACATATCATCTGTGGATATAAAAAAAAAAAAACACTGGAGTACATCTATATAACACCAATCATTTTTCATCTTGCAAAACCCATCCATTACGTTTCTAGGAAGTGAAAGACACCCGTCATCCAGTTTCTTTTCCCTCCAAAGAAACCAGTCCATTTTTTTTCCATCCGGCCTTACTCAGATAATAATAACTTTTGCAGCAAATGTGCCACCGTGGTTAAACGTAACATAAGTTAAATGTTTTAATTTGTTTATTGGACTGACAGAAAATGCTCAAACAATACACAAAACATTCAAGTGGCAAAACTGGCTTCTTGTGAGCCCTTGCATGGCAATCCAATTTATTAAACTACAGATGCTCGGTTATACAAAATTGCACCACTTTTATTTAAGGCTTTTTAAGTTGACACTTGTTCCTCCCTCCACCCGCCGCCCATCCAAAAGCAGACGATGTTGCATTGGAAATACTGCGCCTCGGTCTCAATCCTGGAGTTTTTTTTTTTAGTATTTTTTTTGTCATTTTTTTTTCTCAATCAAACCTTTAACAGCATCAAGGCATTTGCTTGCAGTAATCAGAACAACACAAGACTCGTAATAATTACCCGTGTCCGCCTGTGTTTCGGACACTCCCTAGGAGTCGTGTTCTTCACTTTACACAGTGCAAATCCTCAAAGCATTCATAAACAATTCATTACGTGTACATACGGCATGCTGCACCCTGTCCTTCTGATGTTTAAAGAGACACGCATTTCATGCTACAACTGCTTTACAGAGCGCATTATGAACACCTTTTCCCATCGCACTTGATGTGCGATTAATTCTTTTAAAGTTCGAATCGATTCTTCCCATTTTTTAACACACACCCTCACATTCAGTTAATCCAACACTAACGAAGACAGAAAACAGGGCAAATTATTACAAAGTCACTAACAGACATAGTTTCCTCAGGATCCAATATTTGGTTTTCATATCCTCGGTTGACACCAGCAAGCAAAAGGAGCAAAGTTTGAGTCGTGTGTATTAAAACCCCCAATTTGTTTTTAAAATATATATATTTATACTGTATATTTGTCCAACATTTGATCAGGATCAAGAGGGATTTGACTATTCATAACCAAACCACCCAAAAAGATGATCGGATACAGTATGAGGGGTACTACAACTAAACTGTCAAACCCTTTATTTTTTTAAATACCCCCTTTTTTATTTTTTGTTTTTTGAAAAAGCCTGCTGTACAAAGTTCGGCGTAGGCTATGAGATGGACCTAAATTATATATTTATATAAAAAAAGAGAGAAAGAGACACAAAAGGGTCTTAACACATACTCGAAGGCAACATCTGAGGCTAAGGACAATGATAGCGACAGAAAAAAAAATTATATTTTTTCAACTTTTTACATGTACATCATTGTATCCACAGGTTTTCCTAAGGTAAAACTCAATCAATCAATAGCTGTTGTGAATATAACATCTCCATAGAGCGAAAAAAAAAAAAATCTAGTAATTTATAAAAGAGAAATAAAGGCAGAAGAAATCATGTTTAGAATAAAAGCAAAAAAATAAAGTTACAAAAAAAAAAAAAAAAAAAAAAACAAGGAGTGAAAGTTAGCTGTAAGAATGGTTTATATAGGAGTTCTTTGGACTTCCTCTCCTCTCTGGCTAAAATAGTGGTGCTTATAAATATCATTGTAATTGCCATGTCAACGTGCACAGCCTGGTTAGACATTCCCTCCTTACATTTACAACGGTGGCTGTTTCCGTTAGCGATAACACTGCGTGTAGGCTCTGTAATTTTTAAAATTATTTTTGTCTAGCTTTGTATTCATTTACTCATTTGTTTATTCGGTTGCATACAGTTAGAATATATATTTATATATTTATATGTAAAAATCTCTTTCTCGCGACATTGGAAAGTGATGATGGTTATCTATGTGCAAAAAACTGTCATGGTACTGTAGCCTTGAATCCATTGGTTGGTTGTTGGTTGGTTGGTTGGTTTGTTAAAGGGGCATCACCACATAGGAAAGTCCATTCGATGTTAGGTTTTAGTAACGTCGGAATGCTGGCACTGCTGATAGACACAGCAGTAAATCAGACCTGCAGGAACAAAAAAGTTATTTTAGATCTAGGTTTTTAACCAATAGATAAAGAATTTAAAACAGAAATGACTGACAGCTTATCACAGCCAATGATGATTGAGATCTACCTGGCTCAGAGCAAAAGAACAGCTGTGTATTAGAGCAACTGGCAGGTGGACTTTTTGCGTGGCTTTCCAGTTACTGGAGTTTTCCTGTTGATTTGCCGGACCAGGTCATAGAAAATCTGTGGAGAGAGGGAGAGAGAGAATTGAATTTAAAGAACCAATTTCATTCCAAACAATCAATTTACATTACAAACATTTCATTATACACTTCAGAGCAAGAAAAGAGAAAATGATAAATCATAACACAAAAACAGAAAGTAAAAAAACAACAACAACAACTCAAACACAAACACACAAAGCAAACACAAAACTCAAAGCAAAACTCAGAACAATACATAACAAATAGTACAAGCAAAATTCAAACAAAACAAAACAAAAAAACACAAGGTAAAACAGTGAACCTAAAACTAAACTCAAAAAACAACAAGCTAAATAAAAACACACAAACTAAAATATAATAATACTTGACAAAAAAATCAAAAACTAAAAAAAGAAATAAAACAAATACACAAAACTAAAAAACAAAATCGAAAATATATTATAAAAATCAAAACTCAAAAGCAAAGAAACACTAGGAAAAATATACAAAAAATCTCAAATAAAATGGCACACTTCAAAAAACTAAAATTCTAAGCAAACAAAAACAAAGTAGAAATAGCAACATGAACTACTATAAACATTCCTACACAATCTGCTTTTTAAAACTGATTTAATAGTTTCTCACGATGACAAAAACAAAAAGCAAGTAAAAGAATGAATAAATAAAAAACTCAAAGCAAAAACTAAACACAAAGCAAACCCTAAACTCAAAGCAAAACTTAAAACAACACAACACAAATGTTGAAAGCCAAATTCAAACAAAACAACACAAGACAAAACAGTGAACTGAAAACTAAACACAAAAACAACTCAAACCTTAAAAAAAAACACACACACAAAATTAAATGTAACAATACTTAGACAAAATCAAAAACTGATTGATAAATAAATAAATTAAAATATTTAAAACCAAAACTCAAAGCAAAGAAACACAATAAAAAACTATACAAAAAATATATATATATATAATAGCAAACTTAAATTGAGACAATTTAAACAAATCAAAATAAAACTACTATAAACACTCCTACACAACTATCTGCTTGTCAAGTGTGACATCAAAGTTTCTCATGATGACAAAAACAAGAAAAAATAATTAAAAATCAACTCAAAACAAAAAGTAAACACACAAAGCAAACACTCAAGCAACACTCAAAACAACACAAAACACAAGGAAAAGCACTGAATTAAAAACTAAACATAAAAACAACTCAAAGCTAAATAAAAAAACACAAGCTAAAATATAATAATCCTTGACAACAAAATCAAAAACAAAAAAAGAAAGAAAAAATACACAAAACTAAAGAAAAAGAAAATGAAAAAATGCTTGAAAAATCAAAACTCAAACTGAAGAAACAATAAGAAAACCATACAAAAAAAAGCATACTTCAAAAACCAAATTACAAAAACAAATCAAAATAAAACGCAAAGTACTATAAACACTTGTACACTCATGATGACAAAACAAAAACAAAGTATAATATATTTTTTAAAACTACTTAAAACAAAAACTAAACACACAAAACAAACCCTAAACCCAAAACAAATGTAAAAAAAAAAACTCAAACAAAACACAGAACACTAAAGGAAGCTAAATAAACACACACAAAACTATAAACAAATCAGTCTAAAACAATTTTCAAAATCAAAACAAAAAATGGAACACATAAAAAACATAAAAACATTAAAAAAAAACACAAACAAAACCAAAAATCAACACCAAAATAAAACAAAAAACTAAACAAATAAAAACTAAATAAAAATAGAAAAACAAACTACTGTAAACACCCAATCAAAATAAAGCAATATCTTTCAGAGTCAGTGTCAAACTTAGGCTAATTATTGTTTGCCGTGTCTAAAGATGTGAAAACTGTCTGCTTTGTGGAAATAAGATCAGATTTACAGCATAAACACACAATCGACTCTGAATTCCAAGCATATCCAGAGGGAGACTTTTACAAACAACTAAAATATGCGTACAAACTAAAGACGACGAATACGAGAAAGAAACAGACACAAATCAGTCATTGGGAGGTGTGGACGCTTCCTCGCACAGATGTTGGGCTCTCAGCGGGACAAGAAGCAGCTCCTGCATTATCAGTCATTTCCACACAACATCTGCAGCTTTTACACAATGGCCAGAGATAAACTATCCGCTTGTTGAGTCTGACGTCATAGTTTCTGGGTTCAACCGGTGCCAAAAGCCAACAACAAATAGTAAGAACATCCTCATGGCGTGCTGGAATACTATTGAAAATCATGTTTATATCAGACAGTGATTCACAATGTCACAAGTGGATAGTAACAGACACATAATTAGACATTTGCAACTGATGTTCAACAGCCCTGGTAATGCAAAATATCTCTGCCGCCATGTGTTGTGAGGAGATGTGAGTTGAGAAGGATAAGCTCATAATCCGTGCTTCGCTACACACATACTGTACAGATGATCTCAGTTTCACAGATAAACAGATGCAGAAGTACAGGACGCACCTTGCTAAAAGGTTTGGACAATCAACATAAAGTAGCTGCAGTATGAAGATAGAGAGAGCAAATGGACTTGCTTAAACCTTTACAAATCAATAATGCCTTTTTTCCCCCTTCATTTATTAAATGGAATCTGATAAACAAGATGATTTGACCACAGCAGCAACTTGGAGTGAGAGAAAATGTTCCCGTCTAATCCGGTCATGGCCTGTCTAATTACTGTAGTTGTGGGTTTTGCTTTGTGCAAGAAAGTCAGTTTTAGCCATAAAAAAACCTGTTGTAAATATATTTTGCTCTACTTGAAAGCAGTTTTGGATGTGTACTCAATTTCGACTATGTGAAATTTTGGGAAAAAAAAAATTTTTAAATTAAATTTTTGAAATAAATTTCTGTAAATTTGGTATTAAAATAAACTTAATAATATCAATAAATTTTGTAAACTAAAAACAAATCATGGGAAAAAAAAGACAACAGATGTAAAGCTATGTCATATGCAACAAGTGATCTTTTATATATCAATAATATTCCTAATAATTAGAAACTATTAATTATATCGTTAAACTGTTGCAGGGGGGTTAAAGTCCCTGGCGTCTGGCTGAGATCAATACCTTTTATTATGTTTGGCTAGCAAAAGCAATCTACTTCTGGGAGGGGGTAGAAATCAAGGGCCGTGCGATTTACTTCCAGAGGGAAGTTGAAATTGGGGGGTAGTAATTAGAACTGTAAGACTTAACTTTTCGATTTTAGGTGAACAATTGAATCTGTTGGAGACGTTCAATAGATTAATAGGTACTGAAAATGTCCACAGGGGGATCACTAGAATTGGGAAGTCTCAGAGTAAAATGAGAAAATATGATACAACTGTGTTTTGGAATATGGAAAAACTGTCAATTCGCTGTTTTCATCTGTTTAATTTGTTTTTATTTTATTTATACTTGTCTCTTTTAATCCGGTTTTTGCAAAGCACTTTGAATTGACACTGTGTATGAAATGTGCTATTTAAATAAACTTGCCTTGCCTATATATTAAATATTATATTAATACAATATTTAAAATAACTAAAATCCACAAAGAACAAACATCCACATCCGAACCAAGTCAAAACTAAATCCAAAATACAACACTTCAAAACAAAAACTCAACAAAACTATCTAAACTTCTCTTATTAAAAAAATAAAAGCTAATAATAACATAAGTAAAAAAATCTAAAGTCAAAGTCAACATCAAAAAGTACACTAAACAACAAACAAAAAAACTCAAAGCAACCCCTCTTATTTAAATTTAGCATTTTGTGTTTATTTACAAAACAACTAATATTTATACAGCAAAAGTTCCCAGGTTTAAATCCCGGACAAGCCTCCAGTTTCAATAGTATCTGGATGCAGCCTTTATGATGCAAGCTGAGATTGTATCTTTTAGAGATGCAATGTCAGACACAACGCACTCGATGAAGCGAGTGACATCACTGTGACAGGTAGGGTTAGGGGTGGGGTTAGGGTGAGCCCATACAAAAGCATTGCATGTAGCTCAGATTGCATTGCACCGAGTCTGCAGCCAGACCCCTCTCCCAAGTTTTGAAATGACCCTAGCCTAAAAGCATAGAGGTGACACAAATAAAGAGTAATAAACCAATTCCAAATAGTATTTCTTTTTCATATATGCTAATCAATCCAGATTTAGTATGCTGACAATGTGTGTGGTCATGTAAATGTGCCGGACCATTCTCCATAAGACCATAAACAGCTTAAACTTAAGCTGATCAACTTGGATTTTTGCCCATCAACCCAATTTGTGTAAACACTTTAACCTGCATTCTGTCGAGTCTACTGTATTAGCGCAGATGTAAAAGTGTGCTCATGGTAGTTTTGAGCGCATTCAGCAAGAGTCAGTGTTTGTGAGTAAAACCCAGAGTTAAGGCAAGACACTGCAGGTGAATGCAGTAAATCCCATCAATTAATATATTGGAAACTCAGTCTTAAGGCAGGTGAATGCAGTAACAAAATAACTCAGTTGTTTGACTGCATTTAAAATTTGAAAACAATTATATGACTAATAGAATTCTAATATGTCTTGTTAAACTATGCAAATGATGCATTTTTAATTAGATGTGCACTAATTTGCATACATTTATGACATAAATCTGGGTTCAAAATTCAAATCAAGTCAAATCACAGAGGGGATTTTGGAAGTGTCTTTTAAATGACTTTTATTCAAAATATTATATAAACAGTGATTATATAAACATGTATATTATATGAGGAGAAATGCCTCAGTAAAAACCTTCAGAATATAGATTTGAACAAAACTGTGAATTTGGTGTGTTAGTGCTGCTGAAGTGGAGATTTATGGCTCAGTGCAGGTCAGGAGAACTTTTGTTCTGTTAACATAACATATGTCAAAGTTGTGTATTTGAAATTAGACACTTCATGTAGGGCCAAAAAGTCAAAATTTTCAAGTCTCACCTTAACTAATAAAAATTATTAAAGAGGTATGTTCACAATCACATGGCAATTCAGAACTTTTACCTTTAGTG